AAATTCGCCGAAACGTCAGCTCATTCGTGAACAAAGAACAATAACACCTCGCGTTTGCTCAAAAAAATACGAACAAAATCGCTTGATCAATGCCGAGGTTAATAGAAAGTCGGTCGTGGCAGTTACAATACAATACAACGCTAGCTGACGTTTCGGCAGTATCGCCTTCTTCAGAGCCGCTTTTTCGTGACTTCCAATGAGGAAGTTTAGAACAGCTCGTCAACCACATGCGACTATAATTGGAAGTCACGAAAAAGCGGTGGGTTTTTCGAGAAGTTGTTGAACGTGTAGTTACCAAAGAGTCTTTCGTCTTTATGTAAGTGTTATTGAAGCGTTTGGCCTAGTAGATTGTATATCAGTATACCCTTCCAGGCTCTGAAGAAGGCGATACTGCCGAAACGTCAGCTAGCGTTGTATTGTATTGTGTTTTTATGGAAGTAAATGTATGCTGTTTAAAAACCTCGCGATTGCTGAACAAGAAAACGACACATTCATATTCCAATGCCGAGGTTAAGAGAAAGTCGATCCTGGGAACTAGTAAATAAAGAGTTAACATACGTACACCGTAGTTGGATTGACCCGGTATCATATGCAAACCAGTCCCTTCGATCAGCCAGTTCCAGCAAATCATTACCACAACTTTCTAGAAAGATAACAAAAAACACGGAGTTGATAAATCTGCTGACAACCGAAGTTTCTTGTATAGGCCATATATAGATTTATTTTTTTGATGGCTGAATGAAGTCGTATACATTTAACTTCTGCAATTGATTGATTGATTAAGGCCGAAAGCTTTATGGTTTTCCAAAAGTGGGAATGAGTGGTTTCCACAGATCTGAACAAATGTAATATTTTTCATTAATTGTTTGGCGCTTTCGAAATAGATTGCCGGCCTAATATAAGTCGACATGGAGCCGGAACAGTCGATAACGATAATCGATACGCAGCCTAACATTAACCAGTGAAAAACAAGAGGGATAGAATAAAAAACCACTTGTGAAAAATTAATTACTACTTCAAAATCTAACCAGAGCTTTAGTTTTGTCAACGGTGTATTGAAAAGTGTCGAGTGAAATTTATAAATTTCCCTTTTCCACCAGTGCTTTGCAGCACCAATGTGACAGCGATTGTTCGTGGACGTCAGTTAAACTACAATATACATTGTGAGGTAAAGGCCTCACCAGTTCCTCTAATTACTTCGTTGTACCACTCTCTTTATGAAAGTAATAAATTGGATTCATCCACCATTTCGATAGAAACTTAAGGAGGTATCTTCTTCCTATCCTCATTGACATGAAAACTTTTATTCACAGTAGTGCACTGAAATTTCTTAAGAACTGTTTACAAGATTATAGTGCTGTGAATGGTAGAGGAAAGTGTTAGGGTGAAAGGAATTTTTTGTAAATCGACTCCTCATATGGTGAACAACAGAGGATTCGTGAAATTATCAAATTTCAGCATAAGAACCGCAAAATGATTTTTAGAGCATAAGCGCCTGTTTGTGGGCATAGAGTCGATTTTCCGGTGATTTCTTGAAGATGAGTTCTTCACATGACCACTTCTTCACACATATTGAGCAGGTCTCATCGTGGATTCTTCCTATCTTGAAACCGAACCCTAGACATTCGTGGTAAGAGGAACCTAGGTCTTAGAGACTAGGAAAAGCTTCCGAGACTGGCTTGACACCAATTTTGTCACTCTAAGGAGACGGTGAGCTTGGTGAGCATAGAGCTGGGTCGAATAAAAGTCTCGCGCTTATTAAACGGTACTAACGCCGTTAAACGATCTAGATCTATTGAGTGTGGATAAATTTCAGAACTCCTGAATTAAAGACGGTGGGGGTTTTCGCTAAATTGGGTGTCCTTTCCCTCTACAGAACTCATTGGAGCAATAACCTATGTTTGACTTCAAATTTCATTTGTGCCAAACCACTTTAGACCTACGGACTGCTCTTAACCAATGAACTAAATCGACCTAACTCTTCTCTAGATCGACTTTCTATTAACCTGGGCATTGGATTATAAATGCGTCGTGCTCTTTCTCAGCAATCACGAAGTTGTTATTCAGTGCACGTTTACTTCCTTACACATAGAACACATACAACACAACGGTAGCTGACGTTCCGGCAGCTCCGCCTTCTTTAGAGTCTAGAGCGGTACACTGACATGTAATTCAGTAGGTCAAACTCTTCAACAACAAAAACAAAGATGAAAATATGGACGGCAACTACACGATCGATACTCTTCGTCGTTACTTGTTGTGTTGTATGTGTTCCATGTGTAAGGAAGTAAACGTGTACTGAAAAACAACTTCGCGATTGCTGAAAAAGAGAATGACCAAACCCTGTTTGCGCCACCGACGATGAAGAAGTCTACATTAATCATTTTCTTATTTCTTCAAAGAATCGTTCTTTTTGCTCTTTAAAAGTGGTGATCAGAAGATGATATTGACAAACCTGGAGTGAGTCTTTCGGCCACATGTTAAAAATTTCGCCGAAATAACTTGATAAAATTTAACAATCTAATTCTGCTATCAACTGGACGCATGCAGCTCGCTGGCTACAGCTGCAATGAACTGAAATCATGGCCGACGGTTCGATCCACTGCCACTTAGCCGCAACCTTTGTCTAGCCGGCGTAGCCAAATTTGACTTCTGTGCAAACATAGCAGCACTGATATGATGCATCGTTAGTCACCATAAGTCATTGTTTCCGCCAAGTATGCATTGAATAACCAATATGATGGTTAATGAGACCGGATTAACTCCGCACAATGGAGAAAAGCAAAGTATCGAAACTATTAACTTGTTCGGAAACGTTTTAACACGTTGTTTGTCATAACTTGATTCAAACAAAAAATTTTTGATCAATAAAAACCATTTAAATCTAAACATTTTTGCCAAGAAGAAACAAATTTGCTTATTCCATTACTCAATCCAGGACTTCTGTAAGCGATGAATTCCTTGAAGGCATCTTTTGCGTTACCGTGGTTGGTATTCAGATTTTCCATTTTATTCAGGTCTAATATGTTCAGTACTTAACACTTATGCAGTAAATGCAGATTTTTTCAAGTAGCTCGGAAGAGCGAATAAATTAGGGCGATAAGTGGTGTTATTGATCATAACATACTGCTTACATGGCTCTCATTCTCAAACGTATTATTTAAAGCATCCGTGGAGTTTACTTCATTGAAGAGTGAATTCTACAAATACCATTTCTTGACAAAGACGCTTCACCAAAAGGGTTCTTTTGAATAGCGCGCATTGTTCTCTTCGTTTATAAGTCAGAAACACTTCTTGTTTTCCATGATTCCTCCCTAAGTTTCGTTTCCGATGCATGATTTTGTGGATTTCCACGAAGGGCGTGTGTGGCGTAGTGGTCGATTACGCCCTGCAACACACACGTGGAATCGATTTCCGCACCCATGGCCCAACAAACCTTTCATCCCTCCGGGCTTGGAATCAATATATCAGTAGGCTACCGCTAGTCATTACAAAGACCAGATATGCATTCAGTCACCTCCGAACGATATTTAAAAAGTCGAATGCATGGCGCATCCCTCAGAGATTGATCAACGCTGAAAGCTTTATCCTTTAGCTTTATTCACGAAGGCATAATTTTTGACGGTATGAACCGCGAAGTCCGGTGTGAATCGTTCATCGTTCAAACGTTATACGGTAGTCCATAGGGAAAAATTTGAACTCAAATGGGTTGTCAACCCACTTATCATTTGGCAAGTAACTTTAATAGTTCGAACGGAAGTCAGTGGTTAAAAGGCATCCAACAATAACCAGGCAGCACTAGTGCTGATCGAATGCCTATGGATATGGGCGTATGTGCTCGTCTGTAGATGAACACATTACTGTTGGCGTACTTCACTAATTCAATGTCGACATTAGTGCAAACAGTAGAATAGAGAAAGGATTTGTTTTCCAGCAGGTCCATCTAAATATTTTGCAAAATTTCTAAATATACCAAAAAGATAAAAATAATTGCTTTGTTTTAGTGATGACTAGGATTCAAAATATTTTGTTGCCTATGTAAACGTCGGCCAGTGAAATGTGTATAAAAAGCAGTCAAATCAAGGTAGGATACCCAGAGGAAAAACTAAAAAAAGGAAATCAGTTACTCAAAAGTGTACTTAAGGCTATCTGATTGGCTAAGATTCTACAGTTGGTTAGTATCTGTTGTTCTTCCTTTTAAATAACAGAATTTCCCAGTAACCGAATGTGGACGAAACAATGAAGACAAATTGCATGGCATGGAAAAAGAAATCAAGGACAAACTAAGTGTATTTGCAAAACCAAATGCCGATGAGTTGAAAACCATGATGGTGAAAACATGGTCTTCTGTATTGACGTTCGTGTAGTAGTAAATCCAGATCTTTAGAATTACGCCGCCATCAAACAAGCTCACCTGAAATCGATAGGTGAGAAAATCGAAGAGGTTAATAGGAACAGGAAAGTTGACACTGCGCTGTCCAAGGAGACATCATTCTGACGAAGTTTTTAGTTCATACCGTACTAAGCCGGTTTCCAATTAATCTCGACATGATTAATCAACATAGACCTTCGAATTGTTCAACTCACACGAAGTTGTTTACAAAGTCGATATAGTGAAATATAACTTGGTTATAGTTCCCAGGATCGACTTCCTATTAACCTCGGCATTGGAATATGAATGTGTCGTTTTCTTGTTCAGCAATCGCGAGGTTTTTAAACAGCATACATTTACTTCCATAAAAAACACAATGTTGGAATATGAATGTGTCGTTTTCTTGTTCAGCAATCGCGAGGTTTTTAAACAGCATACATTTACTTCCATAGAAAAACACAACACAATACAACGCTAACTGACGTTTCGGCAGTATCGCCTTCTTCAGAGCCTGGAAGGGTATAGTGATATACAATCTACTAGGCCAAACGCTTCAATAACGCTTACAAAAAGGGGGCGATTGTGAGAAACATGTTTCGAACAGCCACCTCTGTGTGCACTACCAGGGAACTAAAGGAAGAATCGCTCGACTTGGCAACTAGCCATCTCCAATGGCTACGAAATAGTAACCCCACGAGATAGGTTTAGAAGGAGAGCGGCACGCCCACGCGAAACACTTGGTCAAAAGAAAGCCCCGTTTATGTAGCCTTTTATAAGTGATGAAGTAAGCGCAGCTATTAAACGATGCTTAAGAAGGGCAGCTCTAGAGGAATCGCTTGCGATAGTTGAAATACCACCGGCTGCTCTACGTCGTCAATTAGATCGTAACCGCCTGTATGACCGTCTGTGTGAAACAACAAATCGCGTAATTTGCCCTTACGGCATGGACGGTGATTGCATAAGTTCAGGTACGATATACCTGATCTCTTGTAATAATTGCGGAGATGAATACATTGGCGAAACGGGCAGACCTTTGTGTATCCGCATAAAAGAACATCTAGATGGCAAACGAAAACTAAGACGAAGCACCCCACTAGGCACGCATAGGATACAAAAGCATACCGGAGACGATTTTGAAGTAAAAGTCAATATCCTTGCACAGGAGTCCAAAACAACAGCGCGAAAACTCCTTGAGGCTTTTTGGATAAGTGCCAAAAACCCTACAATGAATAGCACAGAGGAATGCCGAAAGGTTACATGCGACCTGACCCTGTATGTTCGCATCAATTTCTAATGTGGGATGGTGCAGTCATCAACCACATGCGACTATAATCAGCTGTTCTAATCCTCCTCATTGGAAGTCACGTAAAAAGCGGTGAGTTTTTCGAGAAGCTGTTGATCATGTAATTATCAGAGAGTTTTTCGTCTTTTTGTAAGTGGTATTGAAGCGTTTGGCCTAGAAGGTTGTATATCAGCATACCCTTCCAGGCTCTGAAGAAGGCAATACTGCCGAAACGTCAGCTAGTGTTGTATTGTATTGTGTTTCTCTATGGAAATGAATGTATGCTGTTTAAAGGCCTCGGATTGCTGAACAAGAAAACGACACATTCATAACTTGGTTATAATCTAGCTATTTTAGTGTCCACTGCCAATGGATGGATTGTCGACATGAAAAGAAATCATTATCAGTCGCCAATTAGTCAACAACCCTCCAGTATAAGACGACACCTCCGAGTGAGGTTACATCATTAAAGTGGTGCTCCACTCAAGAAGACTCGCCTTGGTGCAACTACGAAGACCAACAGCGTGAGCACGAACGGCTGTGGGCAACTGGCTCTAAAGGGGACACAGACGTCAGAACAGCGTAATAAATGTTGTATATCTACATCGAGTGGGCTGAACAGTCTAAGAAAATATACTATCGAAGTCTGCTCGTCTTCTAAGCTGCGCTCAAGAATCATCTAACTTTTTCAGTTTAGGTTCTTGCTGTGGCTTGTAGACAACAAGCCGATGAGATTATGGAAGACATCGAGAACAACGAGGGCAATCGCAACAAATGACAAGCATTTCACGACGAAAATTACCCTAAAACTTTATGGTCTGGTGGGATCTACTTTGCCTGTTGGAACACAGGTTTGTGTCCTTCTCTTTACATCAGAATTACAATGAAACAAACGCCAGAAAACAACTTTCAAAACGGAGTTTAGCGGCTGCGGCTAAAAAAGTGTTCATGAGAGCAGCCGGTATGTGGTCTATTGACATCTTTGTCAATTTCGGCGTGACCCACTCAGGTGAGAAAGATGGGATTCTTTAAAAATTAGTGATCACTCAAACACCATATTTCCAGCAAACGAAGAGGTATTGGTTATGCAAAGTGCAGGATGTTGGTCACAAGTAGGGAAAATTAGTGAAACTCAAGGTCTCTAACTTGGTGCGGAATGTGAAAACGTATGTTCAACGAATAGCTTTTTGGAATTCACATTCAAATTTTCCTTGGTAGTATTTTTAGTGTGATGTGGATAAAAGAGGTTTAATTTGACCAGTTACGGCATGACTTCGTTCCTTCGTGCAGGTTGTAGTTGCTGCGCACGAGATCGGTTACGACATGGGCCTCCACACGCAGCCGAGGCATGATCGTGATAATTTCATGAATCTTTATGTGCAAAATTTAATTGCAAGTCAGGCTAAACTTGTCATACAGGTTGCCATTGAGAAGGAGGTTGTGTTTTCAGCCCGCCTAGCAGAGTTAATTTGTTAAGCAAACTGAAAAAATTGACTGCAATTATAAAACATCACCTTCGATCACGGAACAATATGCACTACGAAGCAACAACGTCGGAAAATTCTTAATGTTTCAGTTGGAAACAGCTTCAGAACGCTGATGATTTCAATTGAAGTGTCTCAGCCAACGACCAACCTTACATGGTACCTCACGATGTAAAGTTTTTGCCAACTCTCGAATCACCTTTCATTTCATTCTACGAGGAACTCATGGTCAATCTGCATTATAAATGTCTCGGTGAGAAGGCTGCCAAACATTTAGTCTGCAAACATATTTTCCACTTTCTATTAAGATAAATCCCAAATAATGAACACTAGACATTTTAGAAAAGTGCACTAAAGGATCGTCGACAAAGTGTGAGAATGACGGGTTCCCTCACACAAGAGACTGCTCAGGATGCATTTGTCCAAGCGGATTTGGCGGTAAACTTTGTAATGAAAGAGTGTATAATGGGAACTACTTTATGCTTCTTTCTCAAGTAGACAATAAATCAACGCTCTTCTTTTCAGCCATATGGGTGCGGCGAAACATCAAAAGTAACAGAATGGTACCAAACCCTCAACTACACCGTTGGCTGGTGGGATTATCATCCCGATAAAAACAATGACTTTTACACGTGCCATTGTTGAGTGGAGGTTTGTAAATTTGTTGAATTAACGATGACATCCTGTCAGCCTATGGTTCAAGGTACCTGCTGGTTCGACGATTGAAGTGGTCTTTGATAATTACACCAAAAATTTGGCTCTTGACGGATGCGTCTACGCTGGTGTTGAAATTAAAACATAGCCTGATAAATGTTACACTGGTTAGAGATAAGCACGCGCCACCGTAGTGTTGTGGCTTTCCTATTGAAGCTACTAAATCAACTATGAAAAAGTGTTCAATTCTGCTCTCCTAAATACTCTGAAACAACCTTAGTGTATACGCACAACATCGTTCCTATAATTACTTGCAGCAGAGTTTACGAGGCTAACACCATTTTGCGCTATCNAACTGGTACTGTTTATATTATACGTCGAGCTTTTGAAATTGTACTGAAATGAATGAATGTAGCCACAATGCAGCTTTCAGCTTAACTTAGTTCAATGCTTATTTGTACTATTCAGATTAATTTCGTTGAGGGGTGGTTGCTAATTGCACCGTTAGGGTAAAAAACTGGCCAAGGGAAAGGCAAAGCAATGCACTCAGCGGTGCGGTGGATATCTCGCGACCTCCCGGGCAATCGCGGATTCAAGGCTCACCGGAGGCTCCGAGTTTCCCTCAAACCGCAGCATCATTGTGGTTGTATTTCACATAATATCCTACCATAAAAAAAGTGAATATAGTTTGAAACACCGTAGCTTGCTCTGGCCCTGCAACACCTTAACCAACTCCTAAACCATCGTCACAGAAGACACCTCGCCCAACGGGCCCGCCTAAGAACGATTGCAAGGATCGTGAATTGTACGTGATCTTGCTAAACATTCAGAAATACTCATACGTAATTAAAAATTCCGTTTCAGTGCAACATACTGGAGGATTTCGGTTTTTGCAGCTCCTCTGAATATAAGCTGAAATTCAAGAAGGAGGTCTACGCTGTAACGAAATATTTATTTATATGATCTTATAAACTGATCTTCTTAAGCTGACGCGAGGCTGGTACAGGTCTTCGTTGTCGTTGTTGTTGTTTTTGATGTTATTGATCGATGGCTGAGGTTTCGGCGACTTCACCTTCCTCAGAACCGTGACAGTTCTAAGATCACATTAGTAAATATATCAACTATCTATGCCGAGGTTTATAGAAAGTCGGTCTTTCGAGTTATTAAAAGATGTAACGAAATAGTTAGTCGCGAAGTATGGCGGCTTATATTGGTTTAGAATATTAGCCAAGCGGCTCTTTCAGTTGTTGTATTGATCTACCAGCTTAAAACTTGAGTAATTAAACCTTTAATAAATAAATACAACATTAATAACATAATAGTAACGATAGAGAAGTAACGGCAGAGGAATGACGCGAGTTAAAGCTCTGAGGTGCTAAGGCTAGAAGTGAAGTGACGCTAACAACGAGTTAATGGCATTCGAATATTATTGCATCATTAATACAATATTAACAGTAATAATGAATGATTACAAAGAAGTAACCGTTGGTTGGCCGTGAGCGATGCCGCGCCGCGTCAATCCGCGGCCGTTGCGGCGGCTGAGGGAGACAGTATGCTGGGGGCGGAGAAAGGAGACTGCATGCAGAGGCAGGGAGAAAGACGGTATGCGGGGGGCGGAGAGGAAGACTGTATTTTGGGGCGGAGAGGGAGACAATAAGCTGGGGGCGGAGTGGGAGTCTGACGAGCCGTGTTTTCGGCTGAGCTAAGGATCAACATTATAGCAGTGAGGTGCATTTTAGTGGATCGATGAGGACAGTAAGTTACATGAGCACTGAGGGCGCTGTGGAGAACGAATGATGAGCCATCTACGGAACACAGTCAGGCGGCTCATCGTGGATAACGCTTGTACGCATGGCGTACATTGTGGGTGGAATGGTATATGCCACCGATGGCGTTGCAAACAGAACGCATTTGAAAACACTCGCCACTACTGACATCGCAACGTAGAAAAGCTAAGAAACGAGATACAGTAAACTGTTAATTACTGAATGATGAACGTGAATGAATGGGAATGAGTGCGAATGAATGAGTATGACGGAGAATGAGCTGGGGTGATTGAGGATGACTAGGAATGATGTTGTGAGGAGCGGATTATCCGCGCTACCGATCAGGGGTAAGGTGAGTGATGGCATGCCTCCGCCGTCGAAGGCACCTGGTTTATATAGGCAGCGGGAGCCGCGTGCGTATGCAACCGTGGCTAATCTGTATTGTTGATCCTGGACTGCAGTAGACTGTACCTAAGTGTCTGAAACATCAAACGTCATTGGCTTCGCTGTTTCGCACGGCAGTAGTAAACTGCTCCTCTGTTACGTATCCTTCGGATAAGCCACCATTGTTGTGCTACTGAAGTCAAACCTGAACCGCTAGTGTGCCTGAAACACTGAAGATAACTGATCGAGCAGATTATAAAAGTTAAATTGCGGTATTTGATGTGCCACTGCGAGGCGGCCGTATATGGACATCAAATACTGTTTCCTAGGAAGATAGGGAACTGTTCTCTGGAAAAGTTCTCTATATGCCTCGATAACTGCCCATAATGTTCAATGTTTTCTCGGATAAATTCATTTGGACAGATGTATCGACGCGCCACCTACACATGCGTGTAAAGCCGCATATACATATGAGCCCGGTGAAAAATGAATGTCAGGTAAAGCGTACGGTCCTTTAAGGCTCGATGGCAAATGTGAAAGAGCAATTCGGGATATTGTTGCTCCTAAACCATTGACTCGGTTCGTTTCCTATTTGGCTATCAGAACCTTCCTTATAGTTGGTGGAAAATCTTTCGAAGCAAAATTCTTCCTCTGCATGAGTGAATGATGTCCTTTTATACACGATGCTGATGGTGGATATATAATGATAATGTCCGGTGGTAACAACCTGTATTTCTTCCTGACATACATCATTGCGGACATCGTGCAGAAGTCGGTGTTTTATCAGCTAGCACAAAGCGTAGTAATATTTCGAAACCGAC